GCCCTCTGACGGTCGCCGACTTCCCCCCACCCCAGGCTTGCCCGCTGGAAAGCATACGAGGTGTTTTCATGATGAGGGTTCCATCAGCACCACCGCAGTCCCACCTCTGGCCCGTGAAGGACATGAGTGAGCCTAAGTCCAGGGGTGGCCCCTCTTTTCCCCTCCCCACGGCTGCCCTGCTCCCCCCAAACCCATCCGAGTGGCTGTCTCTGGCAAGGAGCGCTGGCCGGGTTCCAACCAGCTCAGCCTCTCCCGGGCTGTGACTCCCCTGCGAAGTGAAGGCTTATGAGGTTAACACCAAGGCCTTTCTTCGCAGTTAAGATGCTTTGAGAAGTGAAAGTCTTCCTTGCCTCCTTCAGCCGCCCCCGCGGAACCACTTCCTTCAGGAAGCTGGCCCGGATTGCACCCTGACCCCTGGGGATTGCACCCTGCCCTGTGGTTCTGCCTTCCAAGCCTCTGGTTTGCTGTTGGGTGGGTGGGGAGGACATGGGTATCCAGTGTCCTCTGCTGGCCGCCCCAGGAGTCTTGCCCCACAGGCTTGTGTGATGGGGATGGTGTGGAAACTGCAGGTCTCAGGGAAAGAACGTCCCACAGTTAGCTGGTGGGGGGAAGGGGAGCCCCATTCTCCCCCGGACCTGGGCTGCAGCACAGTCCTCACTCCCCAGACTTACTGTTGGTCCCGACACAGGCCTCGTGGGACAGAGGCTCAGTGCAGAGCCTCCATTTGCCCCAGAGCCACACCCCCTTCTCCTGTGCTCTGTGCCCTGAAGGCTGGCTTGGGGTGTTCAGGGGGCCTCAGGTGATGGGGGGCAAGAGGAGAGGGGTGAACATTCGTCCTGCCGTCTGTCCACTGTCTGGAGAGCTTCCCGACTCCCTGGTCGGCCACAGTGTCCCCTCCTCTCCCCAGCCCTCTCTTAGCTCCTTCCTCTTCCCCACTCTTCATCCCTCAGTCCAGGAGGTAACAGCTCCCAGATTTCTGTGCTGTCCTGGCCGCTCTGTTTGACCTTTGTCAGTGGTTCCTCATCAAGCGTCCACACTCCGTTGCCCCGTGGTTGTGTTGCCAGTTTCCTGCCAGGACCCACTGTTCTGCAGGGCTTCTGGGCTGCCCTTCTACCCTCTATGGGCCCCCATGCCCGTCTGGCCCTGCATCCATCCTGCAGGGTCAGCAGACTGGGGCTCAATCACACCTCTGCTCTTGCCTGCTGTGTGCCCCTCAGAACCTCAGTATCTTCTTCAGCGACGGCAGGCACAGCAGCATGTGGGGCTTGGCCGCCCTGAGCCGCGACCTGACACAGGCGACTCCAGTGTTCTGTGGTCAACCAGAGGGGGAGCGGGAGGTGGAGACAGGCTGGCAGGGCGAGCAGAGCAGGGACAGGATTGCCGCCCTGCATGGAGCGACGGTGCAGAAGAAATCAAACGAACAAGCACTCACAGTGCTTCACGCAGACACGCGGGTGGACGGCCACCACGGGGCTCTGTCCTCGGTCCTGCACTCAGAGCGGGGCTGTGAACTCCGACGCCCTCCTGGGCACACTCCTACCCTAGATGGCCTGGGACTCCTTGTGTGAACGCATCAGTGTCCACAGCTGACCATCTCCCGACAGGCCCAGGGGCCTCAGCTGTGTAGAAAGTGGGGCAGTGGGTGATTGGGGCAGAGACCATGAGGGCTTCTGGTAGCCTGGCTCCCCTCTTGCACCCTGTGGCCCTGGAGGCCACGTGCCCAAGCCCTCGCCGTGACTGACAGACACAGCTTGCAGGCTCTGGGTCCCCTCCCTCCAGTTCTGCTGCCTGGAAAGCAGACAGGACGGTTGGAGCTCTGGGTGACTGGGGTCACTGTAAATCCAAAGGCAAGTGTCCTCATTGGAAGAGGAGAGGACACAGAGACACAGAAGGGAAGCCATGTGGAGATGGGGACAGGCTGGGGAGCTGCGGCACAGCCAAGGACGCCCGGAGCCCCCAGGAGCGGGCAGAGGCAGGAGGGACCCTCCCCCGAGCCCCCGGAGGGAGGGGGTCCTGCCCACATGCGGGTTTCAGACTCTGGCCTCCAGACCGGGCGGGAGTGGACTTCTCTTGTTGTAAGCCGCCTGGTTTGTGGTATTTTGTTAGTGGCCCCAGAGCATTGACACAGCAGGGAAGGGCATTCCAGGCAGAGAGCGTTCCAGAGAAGACCCTGCAGCTGGGGCAGCTGAAGGCGGAGGAGGAGGCTGGAGGATGGAGGGTGAGGCGCTCGGTGACAGCACTGACCTCTGAACCCCGGCCTGCCTTCAGCCCTCCTCACGGGACTGGGTCCTCCCTGGACCTTACCCAGTGCCCTCTAACACCCCAGCTGTCTCTGCCTGGACTCCTCTGGGGATGGGACACTCACTGTCTCGCTGGCCATGCTTCAGCTGAAATCTGCCACCTGGGCCCCACTGTCCCTCTCCGGTGACACTGAACAGGCCTGACTCAGTTTCTCCCTGGAGTGGTCAGATGACATTGCCCCCAAGGCCCCTCTGCTTCAGGCACCGCTGTCAGTGTCCCAGCCCCCACCTCATTTGTGGGGGCCCAGCGCCCAGAGCACACAGTCAGCACCTCAGAAACCTGAGTGCAGTGAATGCTCCCCTAAATGGCGCCGCTGCCTCCCGGCCATGCCGCAGGGCTCCCACCATGCTGTGGGTGCCAGAGCGATCCCGTCCTCTGCCACGATGGGGCTGGGCAGTCCGGGTCCCCACCCTTGGCCCCTGCCCTCCCCCCAGCAGGAGGGCAGCGCAGCCAAGCCCTGTGCATTCGCCCTCAGACAGAGCAGCTCTCTTATGTCAGCTCTAAAAGCTTTACTTCCTACTGCTCTTTGTGCAGTTTAGAGCTGCCTGGACCCTAGCGGACTCTCAGAGTTTCTCGTGCACTCGCAGGAAGCCTGCACGGCGGAGCAGTGCTGCCAGTGGCCTGCCCTGGATTCCAGGCCCCTGGCCCCCAAGGCTGTCCCCAGCCCAGCCTAACCGGCCACTTCCATCGTGGTGGTGTCTGGCGGTAAGGCCCAGCATGTGACCCCCGGAGGAGCCTGGGGAGCAGGATGTCTCCCGTGTGCCTGTGCCCACCCCACGAGGCCAGGTACCTTAGAGAAGATGGGCCACGAGCTCCTAAAAGCCAGAGGGCCCAGAACCGGGACCCTGTGCCCAGGCGAGCCCTTATCCCAACTCACTAGCCAAATGCTCATTGCTTTCCCTCCTCCAGTTGAAGCCTCCAAGTGAGAAGTACCCTCTTCGGGGGGCTGGAGCTGTGTGTCAGAGGTCCACCCAGACCATCTGCTCCAGGCACCTGCACCTGACAAACACCGCGGGTGTCATTGCAAGCATAGCAGCACACCTCCTGGCCTCAGACCCCTTCCACGGCTGACACCCTCCGTCCACACACAAT